GGGCCAGTCGCAATTTCCTGTACAAGCTGCTGATGGGGTGAAAACTGATTTGCTTTCTTTTATTTCATTTTCCTCTTAGCTCCGTCTGCATCCAATGGCATAATCCAAATCCCCGACTTATTCCCAGAATGTCACCTGCAACGTTTGAACAGTTGTACTTCTTCTCTGGACTTATCCTCACTTCTCTGATCTCTGGCAGGGTTCTGACTCAACGACTCACTTCAAAATCTGATTACCCCAAACCTGCTCTTTACCAATAGCCAAGACTAATAAGGCGTTACCCAGTTGGCAGAGAAAATTTCATATTTTCACATCTGGAACAGGGAATGTCACCAAATCACAGATACTTTGGGAAGTAATGCCTTAATTAAATAAAACCTGAATGAGCTATCAGGAAACCAGTTTCCAGTCCCAGCTCTGGCCTTTGCACTGAGATCTTGGGGAAGTCACCACCTCCAGGGTCTTACATTCTCATTGACACTATTATGGGATGGAAACAGAAAGCTGTGGGCATCCTGTTGGGTCAAACATAAGGGAGCAATGGAAAAAAATGATTTTCTTTTCAAAAATTATATTTTTATTCTTTTGCTCCAGCCAATGCGGTGGTCTGTCCAGCCCTTGCATCTGAAGTGACAGGCTACTTGTTGGCTGGAGAGAAAGCGATGCAGTTACAAAATGCCAAATTTAACCCACCTCCGGAAGGCGTTGCAGCCAAACTGGAAGCAAAGAAATGCACAGATCAGATGTCCTTGGGGAAAAGAGTGGAAATAGAAAGAATATTGGTAATTTCTTTCTTCTTTATGCATAGTTAGAGGCTTCTGACCAGCTGCACAGTATACAATGAGGTCAGCTTGCTGCCCCATGGGGACACAGGTGGTGGGACAGGCCTTCTCGGTCGCCTGTTGATAGGGTGACCCGGGGCCACAGGGTGGGTGCTGCGATTACGCCGGCTGAATTCAGCCCAGCTGCACACGGAGTCCTGGGCATGCTCCTCCTCCTCAGGTCACCTGCCTGCCTGCCGTGTTCCCGTAGTGTGCCAAGAAGAAGAACAGTCGGGGCCCAGTCAGGGATGGTGGAGGGCCAAAGGAGCTGCCCTGAGGCCGAGGTCCACTCACGCACTGGGGCACAGTCACTGTGGGGCCTCGTGGGGAGTAGTGGGAGCACTGAACAGGGAGATAAAGGGGTGGGGGGGACCTAGAGCCGGCCCTCCGGCAGACACAGGGCTGGCAGGCTGGGCTTCTCTGGTGGCCTGTGCATACCCTGGAGCCAACGCCCTGCCCTGAAGCCCCACTGTCCCAACCCTGCCCACGTGGCTCTCCAGATCACGGCCACTGCGCAGAGACCTCGCTGCTTTGTGTCCTGAAGGGCTATGGGAAGCCGAAATGCTGCCATTATGTCTTTCTCAAGAAATCATGTGTTTCCAGAGGCCGCTGGGCCCATGTACCCCTGGGGTTAGGTCGTGAGGCTCAGCTGTAAACGCCCATGGCAGCTGGAGGCACCGCGCCAAGAGGCGCACAGGCATGAGGCAGAATGCCCACCCTGCCGCGCTGGAAGCAGGGTCCCAGGGTCCCTGGGTCCCTCCCAGCCTCACCCGGCCTCTCAGCCCGTGACCCCGCTGCAGGGAAAGGGAGAGTCCTCACTCCTGGACATCAGGGAAAATCACCACCACTCCGCGCACTTGTGCGCCCTCCCCTCCACTAGGAGCTTGAGCCAGGAGCTTGGGTGACCCAAGGGCTTATTGGCCTGAGGAGGAAAGGCTGTCCCCTCCCTCATGGCATGTGGTGATGGTACCAGGTCCAGG